TGTCTAAATTTCTATAGATAAAGAGTAATATTTACGTAATATTGAAAAATATTCAGAAAATGGTGATATTTGGGAATATTATTAGCAAAATATTTTGAGTAATTTTCATGAATTTTTTCTTTATTTGGCCGCATTGCATAATTATTGATACAGACACTTGATTTCCGGTTTGTCATTTAAAAAAATGTTGTAAACTGAAATTTTTTTGCATAAAAAACTTTATTACTACCAGGCGTCCATTGAGATTGAGGTTTCACAACTTTTTTAAAAAAGCATTTAGAGATATCGGGAAAATATACAAATACAATATAATCTGTCAAATTGTCGCAATGATTACCGCAAAGCTAGAAACAATAAGATAGCCATTGATTTGGTTTTTTGGAGGTATAATCATACAGTTTAACAATTTACAAGGGTAAATGTAGAGGAAATATGTCTGACTAATGCATGTTATTGGGGAGGACAGAAAACATCCACAACTGAGAAATTTCAAGATTAGATTTTGGATTGAGAAATGGTTAGGGAGAAGAAGACAGCAACTGATATGTACTTAGGAGGGTCTCCTCTAAGGGTTGGGGTTAATAGAAAAGGTTAGGTGCAGCCAGGAGCTGGGTTAGGGTTAGGGTAAAAGCACTGATTTGTGGACGTTTTCTGACGCATCCCATGTTATTGTGAATAGTATTCTATACACAATACTACATAATAGTGAATAAAATCCAAGACTTACAATAAAAGCAAATTTTTAGGTCAAGCCTGCTTATCCCAATCAGTACTACCTTCAAAGCGAAATACTTGTTCAAAAATACTAATCTATTGTAGACTAGAGCTGCCAAATCTATGTGTAAATTACCTATACATTTTTAGAATTTTATCAAAACCTTAATCTAACACTAAACAAGATTTTTTCAATTTAATATAATTTCAAACTTTTAGTTCAAACTTTCATGATCTGAAACAACTAATATTGTTGCTTCAATAATATAGTTTACCTAAATTTTTTATAAAAGCAGAAATTTGAATAAAGAATATATTATTTTATTCATTAATTAAAAATATTTATTAGAAATTTTTTTTGCATTTTATAGATCATGACATTTACAATTATCAATTGTTAGTCACTTTATAAAAAATTATTTGAAAATTTGCAACGCTCACAATCTGAAAATCTGAGGAATATTTCATGTTCAATTTACTATAGAAAATGTTTAGCTGTATCTACTTACTAAGTTTTATATTTATATTGAAAAAAAACATAGCAGCTAGTCAGAATAGTAATTTTCAATTTATCTATGTAATGACTTTGTAAAAACACTGAATATATTTCAGGTTGTTCTTATTCAAGTATTAATAATAAAAGCTTTACAAGTAATGATCTAATGATGGTAGAATACCATGACTACGATGTAAATTCATGCAAACATGTTTGCCAGTTTATGGATGAATGCAAGTAAGTGATTTTCTAACAGATATAGTTTATTGTACTATATTATACTAAAATTCTGATAATGACAATTTTTAGGTCATTTATTGAATATGAAGATTCAAGGAAATGTTTTATAAAAGATAAAACTAAAAGTCAAGTTTCAAATTTTCAGGCTGAAGCAGGAAAAAATTATTTTGAAAAGGAATTGTCTTGCAGTTAGTTTGTTTTATAAATTTTTAAATTTTGTGTAATAAATCTAAATGTACATTTTGAATTCAGATATTCCAAAAGTGTACGGTAAGTTAAGAAAAAAACAGTCATTGTTAAAATTTTGTGTTTGATAACTATTTTTCTGGCAGAATTTAAATATGAGTTTAAGAATAATATGAAAAGTCAATTGCCCGTTTTCCTAGGTTTAAGACCTGTAGGTTCCATTCAAGTCAATATAACCTACTGTGAAATACTTTGCAACAGTATACCACATTGTGTGTTAGTAAACTAGACTATATTGGTATTATTTTACTACTCAAAATAACTCAATTTTCCAGAGGTGTTAGCATTTTCAGAAATACACCAAGATGCTTTTTACAGCAGGACATCGGCAACAGTTCAAATACTTTTCTGGACGATTCTGCTGCTTATTTTATTCAAAAAAGTAATGGTTTACTTATTTAAAAAATAACATCACTTTTTCAAAAAACATTGCTCTGTCATTCATTATTTTTCATTATGACACATTTTTAAGAAAACATGCCAATTGACTAGCTCAATAATAATTCAACACTTCATCTTACAAAGTCAATTATAAAATATTTTTTTGATAGTTGCAACTGCTTATTAATTTTTCGAGGATCAACATTTATTAAGGCATTTATCTCAGAAAAGGCGAAAATGGCCCAGAAAGAAACAATGTACACAATTCTGGAGCATTTATATTACACTAAGGAGAATTTCCGTTCATATATGATATATGAAAACTTTAAAATTTATATATATTTCACAAAACCTAAATGATTCTCCCTAAAATCAGCTATTAAAATAAAGACAGAATTTTCTATAATCACTTAAGAAGAATGAAAAAATACTTCAGTTGGACCAGAATTTTGGAAAAATTTGTGGTAAATTTTGAATTTTTATATTTTGATCTTCAGTTAGATTTTGATTATTGTATTTCCATTGACAGATTTCACAATTTGCTGGACAAGATTGACATTTTCCATTATTATCCATCATATATTTTGCTTTGCATAATGTACACAATGTAGACTTACCTGATAAAATACAATCAAGCAGTTTGATGAACATTGTGTACAGGGTGTGGAGTTCATGGAGAGTTGATAATAACTTTGACATTTATTACATTGAGTTCCATCTTGATTATTTAAATCTTCCGTGCATTGATTACGAAATTCTTTACAAGCTATACAGGTTTTGTTAGTAGATCTAATATTAAAACCAGCAAGGCATTCTAAACATATGGCAATTCCATTGTCATTAGTACATTTAGCTCACTTTGATGGGCATGACAAACATGTTCCATCACTGTTTTCTACATAATGCTCACTGCGTTTGATGCAAAAAGTCTTTTGGATTTCTAATTTGAAAGTTCATTTATAACTGCCTGTAGGACAAGAATCACATTTCTTAGCTTTAGTATTAAGTGCAGTTCCCTTATCACAAGATGAGCAAAGTAGATTATCACTGGAATCAGCACTACAAACAGCACAATGAGAACTACATGGTGAACATGTATTATCAAACTTCAGACGATATCTTCTAAAGCATTTTGAACAAAGAGTAGTTCCAGCTCTTCCATAACTAGTCTGACAGAAGTTGGGACATTCTGAAACATTTAGAATGATTTCTTTATGAAAAGAAGAGTGGAAGTAGAAATTAAAGAATAACATACCTGTTCACTTCTTTTCAAATGTCAAACATGCACTGTAGTTAAAACACTCAATGCAAACTGGCATACCATTTGTAACATTACAATATCTGCAAAAATTGTAATCGGAACAGGCTGTACACAGTTATGCATTGAAGACATTTTGTTTCTTCACCATTTCCAGATAAGCTGCATTTTAAACAATTATTAGGGCAAGCTAAATTAACAGTCATTCTTCCATTTCTTTCTTGAATAACTCAATCATGTATGTACTCATTTATTCTTGAAATTTTCTATGATCTAATCTTTTAAAATGTTACATATGTTATAATGTGATACGTTAACATCCATTAACCTATTTTTAGCAATTATTTATTGATAGTTTTCTTCAATAGCTTAATCAAGTATCCATCGTTTATTTATTCATTCTTTCAATTGTGTGAATTTTAGTCTTTTAAGGTATTATTTAGTGGGAACAACAGAAGTCGCCCAGGGCAGAAGTCGCCCAGGACAGAAGTCGCCCAGAAATTGATAGAAGTCGCCCAGAGCTGTGACAGAAGTCGCCCAGAACTGTGATAGAAGTCGCCCAGGACTATGACAGAAGTCGCCTAGAACTGTAGAAGACATAATGTGTTTGTTCTTTGTTTCTATTGATTTCTGACAATTGAAATATATAATAAGTATTAATAAATATAGAATGCATCATTTAATAATAACTAAATAGTGAATGAATTAAATAATAAAATACTGGCATTCTGTTGAAGGTTTCACATAAATATCATTTATTTGCTTAAACTTGTGCACAAACTTGAGGTTCTATTTGGATCAGTACAGCAGAAAATTCCCACAATCACAATACAAAGTACAGTATTGAGTTTTAAACTAAAAATCTTATGCATTTCATTTAATTTATTAAATTTGTTTCTACATTCAAAGCAGAATTTTGCCATGTTCATCAATTTCTTTCAAATACCTCTTATGTCAAAGATCATGAGAATTAAAAAAAAATTGTAAGATATATACATGATTTTAAAGAGACTAATATTTTTATCAAAACAATTGTTACTTTTGAAGGATTACAATGCAGAAAATCACTTAATTCGAATAGCTAACAATTCAATTTTCACAACAAATCAAGTGGTAAAACATTACTCTACAAAAAAAACTGGTAAAACAATTTCTTTCATTATCACTCACAGATTACAAATAATAAATACAAACTACTTCATAAATTATTTTCATATATTTTGCATTTTATTAAGCATACTGTAAACTTCTAGTACACTTCTGGGCGACTTCTGTCATAGTCCTGGGTGACTTCTATCACACTTCTGGGCGACTTCTGTCACAGCTCTGGGCGACTTCTATCAATGTCTGGGCGACTTCTGTCCTGGGCGACTTCTGCCCTGGGCGACTTCTGTCGTATTCTTATTTAGTGCTTAAATTAGAATATTTGGGGCCGACAGAAAACGTCCCCAAGTGAGATTTTTGAAAGCAACATTTCGGGTTAAAAAAAGGTTAGGAGGAGTAAAGTAGCTTTTGATTTGTAGTTAGGTGAGTTCCATCTAAGGGTTAGGGGTAATCAAAAAGATTAGAGAGAGGCAAGGGCTAGGTTAGGGTTAGGGTTAGGGTTAAACCATGAATTTGGGGACGTTTTCTGTCGTATCCGGATTTTTAAATGTGTATATTTTTGGATTAATACATTATTAAGCTGCATTTATTGCTTCAAATTACTGCACTGTGGAAATTGATCTCTCAAATGGTTAATTGAAGGATTTGCAATATTTACAATCCGTGTTGAAGAGACAAACTAAGCTAAGTTTTAAAATTTAACAAGCTACCATGCTTAAAAACTTCAGAAAATGTTCGGCAAATAATCATGTTCCTCTTAAGATATCTTAAAACATGGATAGTTAACTTGAGCTTAAGAGCTTTGTTTTATTGTGGACATTGGTTTATTTTATAAATTTTTTAGTCCTATGTCATAATTTTATGTTAAAAAGATGTAACAAATTGTGGACTAGGTCCAAGTAAAAAAAACCCAGGATTTATTACACAATATTAATCCATAATTAACATGAAATAATTAGACATGAACAACATATTAATTTTGAAGATGTCTGTATATCTTGAACTTTTTAAAAGCACTGAAAGATGTAGATTTTTCTATGTTTCCTTGACCTTTACAATACATTTTATACAAAAAAAGAGGAAAGCAAATTTTAAATGAGAAAGTTTTTCAAAGAGATATAGTTTTTTTATTTAATACAACAACAAAACTATTCATATCTAGAGATTATATGAAAAAAGTTAATGGTCAATTTGTAAATGAAAATATTGGAGAACAAGTTGACTTGAATAGACTTCAAAAACAGATCAATTTAGAGAATAATATTTCTGTAATAGTTACTTCTATCAAACTTAATCAAAGTTATTTTGTTACTTGTAACATTAGTGTTGAAAATGCTAATAATCCTGATAATATTGACAGTTCTATACATTTTATCATCCAGCCATTGTATGAGACACAATTACCGATGTTCAAAAAAGATGATCATAGTTCCATGATTGAAATAGCTTTCTCTGTAAAGCATTTTCATATTAAAGAAAGAAGTATTCCACAAACTTTAAAATATCCTTACTTTAGAAGTTGTTTTTATAAAGGAGTTGAAGGTTTAAATATGAACAAATTAATTAAGTCAACAATTCCTCTTTTATCTGGTAAAGTTGGCTATTTTTATTGTGATATTGATTACGAATTTGGAGATGACATTGATTTAGAAATCTATAAAGATAATAAAAGATTATTACAGAATACTTGGACAAACAAAGATGCAATGCATACTTTAGTAATAAAGAAATGTTATCTTTCCTTTACAATTTTTTAATTAGCTGTTTCATTTTAGACAGTTGTTGATTTACCATTTACTACTGAGAGGGATGAAGGAATGTACGAATGTCGGGCAAAATCAGTCCTAGATGGACTTTTACCTATAGCCTATGGAAATGCAAAAATGGGCTCATTTGGTAGTTTACTTTCTCTTTCATAAGCCTTTTTCACCTATTTGTGTCACTACTTTCAATGTTTATCCAAATGTTAATAGTCAACATTAGTTGAGATAACTGGCCAGCAATGCAATCTTGTTTGCGATCATTCTAAATTTTGGTGTTTTTATGTTTGACTCTTAGCAGCTTCAAAACAGTCCTCTGTATCACTGTTAGTAGATGTTTCTTTTGAATAGTCTTCTTTAACACCTTCAGCTTATATATTTTTAGCAATTTTTCATAAAAAATTTTCAAATTTTCTTCACGCTTCAGTTTTTGACTTGTAATAGCTTTTGGGTGCATGACAACAAATAATTGACTACACTGTTAAAAATACCAACATGGTGGACAATAATGACTTGTATTTGTGTAACTTGTGCTTGTCCACTGTATAACATAGAATAGTCGTTGTCTCAGTAAAACTGAGATAAAGAATAGAAAATAGAAAAAAATAACTATAACATATCTAAGGACATACACCCACACCATCAATTCTCGATCAAGACAAAGCCTATATCTAGAAAGCCTTTACCTGGCAGCTGACTGGTAAGATAGTTGGTGATCTGGACCATTTAGACAAAACCTAGGTTCATCAGTGACGATTAGTCTATCATAATAAATACGCTGTTGAATCTATTCGCCTACTACAGCTACCCTGATTTTTTATCAATTGTTGACAGAGGGCATGGTTTTAGGTTAGGGTTAGGTTAGGTTAACCCTGACTGATAATTATAGGTCTTTGATGTAATAAAAAGACATACAAATTAGTGAGTAAAAGACACAGTTTGACTATAAAAAAATGGAAATATCACTGGAAAAGTAAGTAAAAACTTTCAAACAGACTTACTGCTTAAAACCAATCAGTCTACTTTTTTCTAATTTGTTGTATTGTAATTGTAGGAATTTCAGGTACATCAGAACTGTATTTATCCTTACTAATCATTACCAATTTGCTAAAACACTCACATCAATAGAACCATAAGTTTGTTTACAAAATACTAAATAAAAAGTCTGCAAATTCTGATTTTTTGTATAAACTTGGAGGGATATTTTTCATGCCCAAACTATGCAATAATGGATTTACCTATTCAAGACAGAGATATCAAGGATGTAATAGTTCTGGTACCAGAATATTGGTACTCCAGAAAGAATATGACATACTAAGAACAGATCTTATAAATTCCAATTATGCTGACAACAAAATAATGGAAGATACTAAATACAAGATCATTTTAAATAAAGAAGTTACCAGATTAGAGAAACATATTGGGAAGAAATCATCACTAAGAAAGGCAAAAGTCACTGTAATACAAGATATTCAAACATATGATGATTGGTATAGGGATGGTGATTAAACCTACCATATGCTGCAGATAAAAAATCATGCAACACCACTAGTGAGGACTTGGTTTGTTAAAGAAATCATTTCACCTGATATCTGGGACATTATCAATAAATACATAATGAAAATGCTGGAAACAACAAAGTTGAAGCCTGCCGGACTTGTCAGATTTCAGAATTTGAACTGGACAGGAAACAAGTTACTTTCAATCCATATCAAAACTAAACATTTGGTATCAAAGCCCAAAAGATACACAATTTCCAATTTATAAAGAAAGTGGAAAATATGCACTTTTACAAAGAACATCAATAAATCACAAATGGAAGAGGAAAACAACTAGAAAGCATAGAGATTCAAGAATCCCACCAAATAAATATAAAAGATGATATAAGAACAGCTGCATTGTTAAATAATATTGAGATAAGAAGATAATATTTATGTTATTTATGAAATTAATTAATAAGAATATGGAAACGAAAAAATTGGTGATGAAGAGCATAATCTTCCTTCTCACATATAATTTCATGGCTGGTCTTCTTATACTTTTAACCCGCATTTTTTCAATTTTATCTTTAAAATTAATTAATTACAGATGAATATTTCAATTTAAGAATCAATTCTATTGAACAATACGTCAATTCAAAATACTTTGATTCTCATTCAATCTATTCCAAAACTAATGTATTCTATGATAAAAAATATAATTTAGCCAACAGGGTTTGTAAATTGATCTCAGTGATCTTACAGCCAAAAGTAATCAAAATGACAACACATTATTCCTATGATTAGATAATTCTTGGTCAATTTCATCCTCTACAGTATCATCAATTAATTCGAATTGTTGTATAGTTTTTTAATACTTGTTCAGATCTTCTTTCATCAAATATACTCAAACTTATTCTATGGTTTCAAAGTAATAACAACATAGGAAAGCATGACAAATTAAGTCAAGTGTTAAAGGAGATCTACGCTGATTATGAGGATAGGAATGACTTGGAAAGCGGACAGCTAAACACAATCGAGGTTGTTGTGAGCAAGTTCAACATGAACACTTGGTTAAGGACAGGCTGGAAAGATGAACAGTTGAGAGCAGCATCAAGACTTAATAATAAATATGGAAGAGAAAGAATTGATTAAAAACAGTCAGCCAAAAGAGAAATTGATCCCATGATGGTGGGAAGAGTAGAAAGAGCTGCGGAACACAAAATTAGCATTGATGGGAGAGTATTGAAGGCCCTGGAATATCCTGAGATCGCCACAGTCAATCAAATACCCATAACAAGCGAAGAAAGGATGAAATGGCAGTACCTAAAAGACATAATCATAGCAGAACAGAACATCAATCAGTCAATATGCTGATAGGATGCGATTACATTGACTTAATAGCTCAAAAGAACTATATTGGAAGGAAGCATTAGTAAACCTACCGCCATGTATTCAAAGTTAGGATGGTCGACAGTCACGATTATAAGTAATTGCTACAAAAAAAAAGGTTTTTGAATGTTTCTATCGGAATTCTTGAATATGGTAGAAAACGGCCAGAGTTGAAAACAGCCAGAGCTCTGATGGAAAACAGCCAAAGACCTAGTTTTTTATAAAAAATAGTAATTATAATTAAAAAATAATATTAATTACTATAAATGATAAGAATAGTTTAAAGATATTTATTTAATGAAAATGAAAGAACATAAAAACAAATAGAAAAAAGAGAAACTATTAAAAGTAACAACTTGAACTAAAAAAGTGAAATATATCTAATGTGAGAAATAAATTTTAGAACAATTTTCCAAAATCTGAGGTGCTGTTATTTCACCATTTTTAAATTTCTCCTAAGTATCAAATATTTCTTTTTGGACATTTAAATAGATCTTTTTCTGTTTGGCTGAAGATGAAAATTTACTTCAAGATGTAGATGAAAGGGCAATTGATGAACAGATTGAAGAAGTTCTAATGAAGGTATGTATTGAAATTTTTACTATAATGTTCATTTTTTTATTGTTTGTTTGCTTTCAGAGAGGGCGTCTCATCGGAAATTACTATTTCAAGTGTGGAGCATGCGTACTAAACCCAAGAGGCAAAGGATGCCAAAGAATCATTAGATTGTGTGTGTTGAAATTTGGAATCAAGATTGCAAAATGGTAATGAGAGACTAAAAAGAAGAATTTAGTACTTAAAATAGTCATTTTATTTCAAAAATGAAATGTTATTTTGAATAGATATTCTATAAAAGTAGACATAATAATATTTCTTTACTTAACTTTCATTACAACCTTAAATTAAAATTTTAGTCATGATTTGGTATTTATTGCAAATCTTTTTTATAACCTGTTGTAATGATTGAAGAACAAATTTGCACTGCACAATCACGGACACTGTAAAAAAGTTGGAACATTATTCAAAATGAATAAATCTGTAAAAAAAAACCATGTTACGAATAATTGTTGTCAAGACAAAATCAACAGAAACTAAATAATTTACTGTCACTATGAAAAATAATTTGGTTAGAATGGCTTTCAAGAGGGAATGTTTAAATTCCTTAGTGTTGCACATTTTGGCTGCATATCCAATAGTTGCAAATGTTATTTGTCTATTTTGTGGATTCTTTATCAACACAAATATGATTTTGGTTGATCAATCAAAAATAGTGACAGAACTGGTGGCTGAACATTATAATAAAACAGATGTTGATGACAATTGTATCAAGTACAAAGATCCAAAAGGGTAATTAATATAGAGAAATTGAAAGGGTAGGGACATCTGTATTGGATTAAATATTCTCATTTTTTCCAGTGAAATCTTCAAAGATTTGCTTGTTCTTGCATGTGCTCAGTCGATTGTTTATTTAGAAATTTTTTTTGAGATAAAAACAAAAAAATATTTTCAAATTTCACTAGTTTTTATTAAACTAACAAATTGTTTAGCAATACCAATAATTATTAAATATTTTCAACAAAAAGACTTAATTCTATGGCTTAGCATTGCTAAATTGTTGTTATGTTTTTTTACTGTAGATCTAGCATTATTTCTGCTAATAATCTTCACTTCCTTCTTGATTATCCATTTTGGTATGATTTTAGATCGTTGTTTTCAAAGGAGAAAGTTGATATTCTATTGTCTTTGCCTCTTGAATGGATTAATAATTTTCTGTAAAGTTTTGGCCATGAATATTACTTCAATAAGCCAAACTATTGGACATGACTGCAACGTAACATATATTGTAAGCGGTTCAAATATTACAATAACATCTGATCATAAATCATATACAAAAGGATTGAATCTGGCATTTTTCCTTTCATTTTTTGTACCTAACCCCAACCGGATGCTTCTTTCATCGATAATAAACGTATTAATTCTATCACTAACATTATCATTACAGTTTTCAATTTACTACATTTTTAAACGTACATGGAAAACGGCGGAGATTTGTTTAAAAATTGTTTTATCATCACTTGCAGCTTCACTTTGTATCTTTTTTATATTTTATTTCAACTTTAGTTCACTATTTCAACAATCTCTTACAATTAAAGTCTCTTTTATATGTTTTTATGCATTGCTTCAAGTTATTTTCTTCTCATACCCTCTAATTACTATACATTTTATCACGATTCTTTCCAAAAAACTGGTACGCCATAAGTATGTTTTTCCTTTTTTTGTTTCCAATTTAACTTAATTTGTTTT